TGTGGGAGGACATTTCGAACAAGGGAGATTCCGAAGACAGTGTGTCAGACGAAAACAACGACTAATCGTGCGCGCGCGTGCGTGCGCATGCAAGTGTGTAAATAAATGCATTTTTTCTGTTTTCCTCGAACAATATTCGCGTGAAAATGTTTTTTCTCGCGTTTGCTATCCCCGAGTTACACCTCGAACTATACGCGGGTCCGAACTATACGCGGGTTTTTACGGTACATTGAATGATCGCCTGCACACCCACACAGGGGAATGACCGCATATGGGCCACCTGGGTTGCCATAGCTTCTCACATAAATCCACCTTGAATGATCACCTGCACACCCACACAGGAGAGTGAGTTAGCGAGATCGTTATTTAGTCCAAAAGTGGCAGAAGCGGGATTGGCCATTTTCAAAATTGTCTCAGAGCATTTTCACAATTAGGACAGCGTTTAAGCTTATCTCATTAAAGCATCAATATGCATGTTGCAAAGTGCATTGAGAAAGTGTCATTATTTCTCATCGCTTCTGCCACGAACTGTTGGCCACCCCTAAACAAGCGCTGCCAGTCTACGCTGCGCGGACCTGCTATCTTATCTCCCTCTTCCCCTTCCCTTACCATTTGTTCTTATAAAAACCCAAGCCGGACAATAAACGCTCTCCTTTTTGCCCTGGCCACTCTGTTCGTGCATTTCGGGGCGCGGCCCAGCCGCGGGGCCGGTTGTAACAGTGGCGACGAGTATTTCAACAAAGAACGAGACCCAGCTGGAAAAGAGCCCTGTTGGTAGCCGCACTTGGGTTGCGAACGATTGATGTGCTATGCGGTAGAGTGGCACCGCAGAAGCCAAACGCACTCGGCTACGATGCGGTAGTGAAAGTTGTAAGCGAGTATCATGACCCATGACCAAACCAAATTTCAGAAAGCTTCAAGTTTTTCCACCGAAACCAGCCGGAAGGAGAGTCTGTTCATGCATTCATTGTGGAAATACGGCGCCTAGCGCATAACTGCAACTTCGCGGCCATGCTGGATAGGATGTTAAGGGACCGTATCGTGTGCGGGGTACGTTCAAAAAATTTGCAAAAGCAGCTGCTCGCAAAACCCGAGTTGACGTTACAAGAAGCAGAGGCACTTGCGTTGGCGGCAGAAAGTGCAGAGTTAGATGCGGAGAACATAAATCGAGAAACGCCCCGGGTAACAGTGTCGGCAATGAAGGAGCAACGCTGGGTGCTGCGAGGCCAGAAGAAAAACGAAGGCGGAAAGCCATGCTAGTGCTGCGGAAAGCGTAATCATAAGCGCGCGACCTGTTCAATGCGTGGGAGGCACTGTTACAAATGTGGAAAACAAGGGCACTTGGCACACATGTGCCAAAGGATCGACAACGCGTTGAATGTAACAGCCCAAGCCAACGACAGTGATAGCAGCGCGTCGCAACTTTGGTCCGTAACTTCGAAGAATTCATTGGTGCCACCGATTCAGGAAACGTTCACGTGGAACGGCGTAAAGCTGAAGATGGACGTTGATACCAGCTCGCCCGTATGTGTCATTATTAGAGCAACCTACAAAGCCCACCGTCATCAATGGCTGAAGTTGCAGGAGCCGAAGACAAAGCTGGCGTGCTATTTGGGGAAGCTACCCGTACTCTGAGTACTGTCAATGCTTGTATGCCACAAATCGGCGGAGGTTGACTGTAACCTAATCGTCTAGGACTGCGAAGGTCCTCTCCTGTGCGGTCGTGATTTGCTGCAGAAACTACAAGAGCAGGGCGCAGCAGTACTCTACGTAGCTGCGCCACCACTCGGGTCGAGCCCGGAGTCTCCGCCCGCGCCTGCTGTGTTGGACCGCTACTCTGACCTGTGCACGGAGGGCGTAGGACTCATGAAAGGCCCACCGGTGTGCCTTCACATCAAGCCTGGAGTGACGACAAAGTTCTTCAAGGCAAGAAAGGTACCCTACGCTCTGTTGGATAAAGTTTCAGAGGCATTAGATCGACTCGTGGCAGCTGGCATTATATCACCAGTGACGCACTCGGAATGGGCTACGCCCATTGTTCCAGTCTTAAAGAAAGACGGCACAGTTCGCATTTTCGGTGACTTCAAGCTTACTTTGAACTTAGTATGCGAGCTGGAACAATACTCGCTGCCTCTTATCGAGGATATTTTTGCGCAATTAGGTGGGGGGGAGCGACTCAGCATTTTGGATTTGCGTGACGCCTACAACCAGATCCCGCTAGATGCAGAGCCTCGCAAGTTGGCCGTGATAAACACCCACAAGGGCCTCTTTTGCTTCAACCGCCTCCCGTTTGGGATTGCTTCGGCACCTGCGATATTTCAAAGGCGGATTGAATCAATCCTACAGGGCTTGCCTGGGGTGCAAGCGTACCTAGATGACGTGTTGATAGCGGAAGAGGGTGACAGCCAAAACCGCAATCTGATGGCTGTGCTCGAGCGCTTCCGTGAACATGGCATTAAACTTCGTGCTGATAAGTGCCACATTAGCGAGCCCTCTGTTACATATCTAGGTCACCGTATTGACGCGAACGGACTGTATCCCAAGGAAAAGAACGTGGATGCTATCAGGCTAGCCCCCTCTCCACAGAGCGTCTGCGAGCTACGCTCATTTCTGGGCATGGTAACCTTTTATAACAAGTTTATGTCCGACTTGTCTACCATTCTAGCACCATTGTACAAACTGCTGGAAAAGGGCGCTAAGTGGACGTGGAGCACCAAAGAAAAGAAAGCCTTTGCCCAGGTGAAAAACGCGTTGTGCGCAGCACCCGTACTGACTCATTTTGACCCGAACCGTGAGCTCTTCTTGGAGTGCGATGCGTCCCCATACGGAGTTGGGGCTGCACTTTTTCATCACACCAGAGGCGAGAAGCGACCCGTAGGCTTTCGATCGAGAACGCTGACAACTGCCGAAAGAAAGTACTCTCAGATCGAGCGCGAGACGTTAGCCTTGATATTTGGTGTTACAAGGTTTAGGGACTACCTGTTGGGGCGAGAGTTCACTCTGGTTACGGATCACCAGCCGTTGCTGGGCCTGTTAAGGCACAACTGTCAGACCCCCGTCAAGGCGGCAGCCAGCATACAAAGATGGGCGCTACTACTTGGTACATACAAGTATAAACTGCAGTACAAGCCGGGAAAATTTATGCTCAACGCGGATGCATTAAGCCGGTTACCCCAATCTCTTGAACAGGAGCTGCAGGACGACGAGGATGCGGCCGAGTACGTCCTCGTCGTGGACCAGTGGGACAAGCCGGCGGTGCCCATGAAAGAGCTTCAAGCCCTCACGCAGTCAGACGGCGTACTGTCAAGTGTGTGCAGGTACGTCATCCAAGGTTGGCCACAACGCACTATCCAAGGTTGGCCACAACGCACTGCGGAGGAAGGCACAGAGATGCGGGAGTATCACAAAAGGCGGAACGAGCTGTCCGTGCAGCATAACTTGCTTCACTGGGGTCATCGTGTTGTGGTTCCGGCGGAAGCCCGGAAGAAGCTACTGAAGTTATTACATGGAGCTCATCAAGGAGTTTCTGCAATGAAGGCAGTTGCACGGTCAAAATTTTCGTGGCCTGGCTTGGACCACGATATTGAGCGCTTAGCCGCTGTGTGTCAGCACTGTGTACAGGCGTTGCCCATGCCACCCGCGCAAGCACCCATTCGCTGGCCAGAGAGGCAGAAAAGATGGTCGCGACTGCATGTCGACTTCGCGGGTCCGATCCAAAACAAGATGCTTCTTGTCGTCGTCGACTCTCACAGTAAATGAATTGAGGCCATTCCCCTGGCTCACGCGACCTCGCGCAACACAGTCGATGCCCTGCGAACGCTGTTCAGTAGATTCGGTCTGCCACACACAGTAGTGTCTGATAATGGCACGCCATTCACCGGATGGGAGTTCAACGAGTTCTTGCAACAGAACGGGGTAGTTCACGTGCGGGCACCCCCCTACCATCCACAGAGTAATGGACTCGCCGAATGTGCGGTGCGAACCATCAAAGATGAACTAAAGAAGTGTGGGGACGCAGACTTGTCAAAGACGCTGGCTAGAACACTGTGCCGCTATAGAAACAAGCTGCTTCCGTCCGGGCGCTCACCATCAGAAATGTTGTTGGGTTACCAGCTCCGCACCCGATTAGACGTGTTTTCCTCCCAGGAGCCGAGCAACAGGGGATGTCCACTCTGCTGACGGCGCCGGGCGGAACTTCGCACTGGGAGATCCTGTGTACCTTCGCAATTACGGCTGTGGTGACAAGTGGACACCTGGGAAGGTCTGGTCAACCTCTGGTGCACGCATCGTGTCTGTCGACACGGAGAACGGGCTTGTTCACCGGCACATGGACCAGCTCAGGCGGAGAAGCATCGAAGAACCGTCAAGTCCAGAGGCTCTCACTAGCCCCCAGATAAGCCCAGACCCTCCAGTACAAGACTGCGAAGCTCCAACGGCTACTGGCTCCGGTCTTCCGGGCCACCCGCCCCCAGAGCTAAGACGTTCCACACGTATCAAGAAGCCAGTGGAGCGTTATGGATTCTAAGGAAGAAGGAATGCCACGAACTCTTGGCCACCGCTAAAGAAGCGCTGCCAGTCTACGCTGCGCGGACCTGCTATCTTATCTCCCTCTTCCCTTTCCCTTACCTTTCGTTCTTATAAAAACCCAAGCTGGACAATAAACGCTCTCCTATCCAACCGGCCCAGCCGCGGGGCCGGTTGTAACAGCTTCATTACAGCTGTAACCATTGGAATAGGAGGCGTTCGCCCGGCTTGATCCTTCGCGCCTCTTCGCGTATGCCCCTCGACGCCGACAGGCGCATTTGACGCTTTCGACACGTAGACGCGAGCATAATCCAGTTTGTCTGATCCACCCGACTCTTGTACGATCACCATAAGTGGGCCCGTGCTTCCACAGTACCCTCTACGACCTTGACGGCCCGCGTCTATCGGCGTCTCACCCCGAGCACCCTCTGTAGAGGCACCGCGTAGAGCCACGCTGCATTTGTCCTCCGCTAGCTATGGCTACATTCACCTACGCAGACGACGATCTGGTCCAGTGCCCTTACGACCCGAAACACAGGGTGAAGCGGACTCGGATTGACATCCACCGGTCAAAATGCAAGAAAACGGTCGGCCAGCCATGCCTCAGGCCTTGTTTGTTCAACGCCACCCATCTCGTGCCATCCATGAAGAGCCTGTTTCTCCACCACCTTGAGACATGGCTTGACCGGTCGTCGACATTGCCGATGAGATGGGAGGATGTGGACAGGCCCTATGTGGTTCCAGTCGCCGGCGCTTCACGGCCGTTCCCCGAACCAGAAGAAATGTGGGAAGCGGGGACCCCCGCAACGTACAAGCCACGAGAGCCCGTCAGTAACCGTTAGAATAGTATTCTGTATGTTATAGGTTCAGTGAAAAACTCATGTATGTGTACTCATAAGCAACCACAAATACATGCCATCGTAACACCAGCAAGCTGTACCTATATGTGTTTTATAATTTTGGTCGTTTTAATTGCAAGTTTAAGTGCGTGGACTTCACGTTTGATGGCATTCTAGAGAGCTGGTAACAAGCTTCATTGAGATTGCGATTATAGAGACCCTGCAAGGCAAATCTCGTCAATCTAGTTGGTTCATATAGTGTGCAAGTGTGACATTATTCAGTGAGACTCCAGCCTCGGTGTGCTGCAGGATATTTAAAAATGGCTTTAAAGTGTTCACGTCATTGCCTTGCTTTTGAGTATAGGAGGTTCGGAATCTAATTGTGTGCATCGTTCGGATGCAAGCCAGCTATGCTCATGGCTGTGCAGGCAAAAGCGAACAAATGTGCAACATCTGACGATTTGGCAGAAAAAAAAAAAAAAATATTGTCTGACTTGCACAGTTTCTTCTTTTCTTAAGGGGAGATGCGAGTTGAAAAATCGCGTTTTTAGCGAAATTTCACGTATTTCTGATTTTTATTGCATTGTAATCTTCAAACCTTCTTCTTTCATCTGTGAAAATTTCAAAACTAAATTCGAACCGCAAAATGCAAAAAAAATGTGTATGAAGGCATCGGGGTGGCTCAAAATTTCGTGAATTTATGCCGATATTGGCCATCTTTGACTGCGCGCTGCTCCCTGTCGCAGTGCCGCCCGCCATCGCGATCGGTTGGGAAAGTTGCGTCCGGCCTTCTTCTTACAGCTTCGACGACCGCTAGTTTCGTACGTGGGGAAAAAAAAAAAAAAACTAGGCTTTTTTATCACGTAATTTGAGCGGTTTGAAACGCGCGGCACCCTAAGCCACATCGCCATTGGCTACCGAGTCATTCACAGCTGTGTTGGTGGCGGCCATCAGCATATGGTCCGTCTGCTTTTCTGCACGTCTACGCATATTTCCGCGATGACAAGCCCGAAAAAGTGCAACGTGAGACCGCAGAAGTTTCGAACGAAGCACAACTTCAAGGGAAGGCGGCGTAAAGCGCCCCGAACGACGGCGATGAACGAGAATGTGCCTACGTGTGCTAGGCCTGACGGCGGCATCGACGAGTGCGCGAGCGACAGTGGCTGCGATGAAGAGATTGACGCTGCGCTTTCTTTTGTCAGTGCTTCGGAAAAGAAGCTCGGCTTCTTCGAAAAAGACGAAAGACAGCGCGATGAGGTTTGTGCAACGACAGTTTTGTGCGACACCCTCTTGCTGACGGCACTTGTGGCAGGTGCGGCATGCCCTGCTCGCGGTATTCAAAAACTTGCCGTTTGGGAGCCAGCAGAAAAGTGCAAGGGACTTTCGTCGCTCCTCGAACTTCATTGCGAAAACAGCGAATGCTCAGCGACTGTTCTTTCGTGCTCCTATACGTCGCTGCGTGTTACGGCGGACGGCAGCAGCCGAGTGAGCCAACGGTACGACAGTGAGAGCTCCCGAGATAGTTTCGCTGTAAATGTGAAGGCGGTGGTGGCTGCACGCGCTGTCGGCATTTTGCATGAGCAATTGTCGAGATTTTGCTCCATTATTGGACTCCCAAAGCCAATGCACCACCGAGGATTTTTTTCGATAGCAAAGAAGGTGCACACCGCTGCCATGGCAGCTGTGAGTGAAAACTTACGCCCATCCAGAGAGTTGACGAAAGAAGTAGCAGGCGAAACTGATGTGGCTGTTATGTTTGACGGCACTTGGCAGAAGAGGGGCCACAAAAGCCACAACGGGATTGGCGAAGTTATTTCCTTAGATACTGGCCTCTGCTTAGACTTCGAGGTCATATCAAATTACTGCCTGACATGCAGTAGGCACAAGGATATGGGCCCAGACGAGGAAGTGTGGCAGGCATTCTATGGCCCAGCCTGTGAAAAAAATGCAGACTGTTCCTCTCATGCCATGGAAACGGAGGCTGCAATGTGCATTTGGCAGAGAACATTGACTTATGACACCCCACTGCATTTCATGACATTCTTGAGTGACGGTGACAGCAGAAAAAAAAAAACCACCACCACCTTGAGACATGCCCTGACCGGTCGTCGACACTGCCGATGAGACGGGAGGATGTGGACAGGCCTTATGTGGTACCAGTCGCCGGTGCTTCACGGCCGTTCCCAGAACCAGAAGAAATGTGGGAAGCGGGGACCCCCGCAACGTACAAGCCACAAGAGCCCATCAGTAACCATTGGAATAGTATTCTGTATGTTATAGTGCAGTTGCAGAGTCAAAAGTCTATGGTGCTGTCAATATAGTAAAAGAAGACTGCACTAATCATGTGGCCAAGAAACTTGGCACCGCGCTACGGAAGCTGCATGTGCCATTACCACGAGGGCAGAAAATGAAAGAGCCAGCCATTCAGAAGCTTCAAACATACTATCAGACTGCCATAACAAGCAACAGGGGGAGTGTACGGGATATGTACACAGCAGTATGGGCTTCGTACTTCCACTCATGCTCTACTGACAATGCTGGCAGCCACAAGTTTTGCCCTGCAGGAACAGAGTCGTGGTGCAAACATCAACCCGCTGAAGCACTTGGTGAACCTGCACCACGCCACACACCTGTCCTGACAAAAGCACAGGGATTGGCTGTTTTGCCCATTTATAAGCGGCTAACGGATGAGAAGCTCCTTGCTCGATGCATCAAAGGGAAAACCCAGAACGCATCGGAATCCCTGAACAGCAAAATTTGGCTACTTTGCCCCAAGACTAAGTTTGTCTCCCGAACGATTGCCGAGACTGCCGCAGCTATGGCAATCCTGTGGTTCAACAAGGGTCATGCTACTTTCGAGCACATCCTGGAAGAGCTCAACATACTGCCATCTAGAGATCTAGTTACTTTCAGTGATTCCCACGATGCGAGGCGCATCAAGAGAATGTCCGAGCGTCTGACGGCAAAAGCAAGGGCCCACCGTCGTCGTGGAGTGAAAAGGGCATGGCTAGAAGAGAGTGCTCGCAAGGACCGTGAGGGCACAACCTATGCTGCAGGACAGTTCTAGTAACTTGCAGTGCTTTTCAAAGTTCTGTTGAGCATTATGGCCAAAGATTATGCATTTCTAACAACTTTGTGATAAAAAAAAAAAAAGGTTTCAAACTTTCAAATGCGTTTTTCTCCTTTTGCAGTTTTGTGTGATCTGTGCTTCTTATACACGCTAGTTCCTATAATTAGAATTGTCATACCTCTATGAAACTTTGCACATAGTATGATGAAGGCCCATAGAGTGCAAGTATCTATTCAGATTGTCAGGGCTGCTTGATTTTGTTTTTCAAAAATTACATAACATTGTAAGCCCTTGGCAACTAGAGCCATAGTAAATTTTTCTATTTTATTATTGTATTTCACCTTTTTACACACAAAATTTATATAGTTTTTTGCACTCTACAGTTCCAAAGGATCATAGTCAGCTATATCTGCATGCTTTATCTCAAATTTTTATAGCTCGGAATTGTTGCATAACAATGGCCATAATTTTGCAGTATCTGACCTGCAGAAAGAAAACCAAGCAATCTACATGAAAATAAATGACATATTTCAAAAGAGGAGAAACAACTCTATTAGCATGCCAATTTGTGTTAAATTCAGACTCTTATTAAAGAAAATCGTTTTTCGAGTAGCATCTCCCCTTAAGCCCTTTGCTTAAAATTGTTTGTCTTAATAGAGCTATACACTTAAAATATAACTAATGCAATACCATAGTAGTGATGGAAGGTCGTGTTGCATCACGCTGACGTGATCAGGATGTATACGAGTGCGGGACGTTTCGTATAAGGTAAAAAAACAATGGATCCATATTTCAGTGTTTTTCTTTCAAATTCTCGTTCTGCTTGAAATGTCTATGTGTTAACAGAGTTCAAAACATGCTTGTTCGACAACTAGTGTCGCTCACTGCACAGGAAAAAGGCTTCTCTCGAGCCATCATTAAGGTGTTTTTCCTTTTCCCTCCGGTCATATGTGCTGTGATGAATCAATTAGGTTCTTTGCGCTTATTGCCACCCCCACTTACATTGGCGAGATCAAAAACTCTGGAAAAGACACCATAATACAGAAAAAACGTACGTACCTTCAATACAGTATGAAACACTCTCACAGAACTCAGCAAGTAGCTGGACCATTCTATGGACTTTGAAAATGCCTGAGCCATTAGAATGGAAAGTAGCTGCACCAAAAAAACACTAGTAATCGTGACATATACAAACAACACTGGACAACACTGACGAATCCACAAAGTTTCTGCCAAACGTTTATGCACACTACATTCAAAATCAATCGACAGGGCAGCGGGTTGACGAGGGCAGTGGGGTGTATGGCAGTGGAAAAGGTACCAGCTGCTTAAAAAGTGCAAACTTCGCAGCCAACTGATCAGTCACCCCTTTGAAAGGCTGAAAGCACCTTGTATTGTTGGGAAAGTTCCCTTTGTAAATTCGCCGACATAACATTGGACACAATGTTTAAAAACCGGCTATTTTATGAACACATAAACTACCAAATTAGGGTGTAAACAAATTTCATTACAATCAAAGCAGAACTTCGCTCGAAAAAAAAGTGGGACACTTATGTCTTACTGACTTATGAATGTACTATTATGCCATACTATCTCAGAGTATTTGAGATGAAACAGCCATAAGAATTGGTTCAGAGTAGTACTTATGATGCTGCGCAGGAAAATCTGTGCACCTGCTTTCAAGCAATGGGCCGAATTCCCCCTTAAAATCCTTTTCAAGGCTGAGCACTGTTTCCGTCAAGCTTGTTTCACATAACATACTAACCATTCTGCGTCAATTATGTACCTCCATCTACTGTCGCAATGGTCAAGAACTGACGTCATCGTCTAATATCTTTCCCCTTGCAAGGAGATATGTGACGATACATACTGTTGTGCTGCACCAGCTGTAACGCTATTGGCTACTAGTGCCACCTAGAGCAGTGAGTGGAAG